AAAACAAACAATTCTTGATAATGAATCACTTACGGAAAATGAAAAATCTGAAGCAATAAGAATTCTAACTCAAAATTATGATCTTAACAAACTTACTTTAAATGAAGGAACAAAAAGAATTTGTGAAAATTGTAACCAAGAATGTTTAGCTACAACATATTGTGAATATTGTGTTCGAAATTATTTAAAAGCAAAATTTTCAGATTGGACATCTGGAAATGTTATTATTGATAATTTGATACAAGAATGTCAAATGAAAACAATTGTCCCATCTCTCATACCAGAATGGATTCCATATAATAGTCTACAAAATATTGAATACTTAACAAAAGGTGGATTTTCAGAAATTTATACAGCAAACCGGATTGATGGTAGTTTTATTGAATGGGATTCTAAAGAACAGCAATTAAAGAGATTTGGAAGTCATTCTGTAGTACTTAAAAGATTAGAAAATGTTGAAAATGCAAACCAAAGTTGGATTGGAGAGGTTTGTAATCTAAATTTAAAAAAAGAACAGAAATATTTTGTTTAAAATTTTTTAATGGTTTATTTTATAGGCTAAATCACATTTAAATATAAGCAATAAATGGAATGATATTGTCCGATGTTTTGGATTAACACAAGATCCATCAAATGGAGATTATATGCTTGTAATGAATAAGCTGGATATAGATTTAAGAAAATACTTACAACAAAATCATAATCAACTTACATGGAAAAAAAGAATTCAAATTATTACTGATATAACACTTGCACTTCGAAGAATTCATGAAGAAAATGCAATTCATAGAGATTTGCATTCTGGAAATATATTATATAATCTTGGTAGTGCATTCCGTATTAGTGATCTTGGATTTTGTGGACCTGCAGATAAACCATTAAAAAGTATATATGGAAACCTTCCATATATAGCACCTGAGGTTATTATTGGAAAAGAACAGACTTTTAAATCTGATATTTATAGTATTGGAATGCTTATGTGGGAAGTTTCGTCAGGACAAGCACCGTTTATTAATTATGAACATGATTATGATCTCGCAATGAATATTGTTAATGGTATAAGACCAAAAATTGTACTAGGAACTCCTTTAGAATATAAAAATTTAATGAAACAATGTTGGGATGCTGATCCATCAAAAAGACCTGATAGTTATACACTTCAGAATAAAATGAATGATATTAATTTATTTTATCAAAGTAAATCAAATGAATCATTAACTCAACCAGAAGAAAATAGTAATTTTGAAATAGAAAATTGTACTGGCAGTAGCAAACTATTTACAAGTAAACTTCATCAATTTGACAATCTTCCTGAACCAAGAAATGCGACAGAAGGTATTTATTGATTTATTAACCTTTTTATTTAATTTCTTAAAAAGTGTATTAATATATTAATTAATAATGTTTATTTTTTATTTAAATAATAATAGAACAACAAGAAGGTACAAATTAGATAAAATATATTAAATTTAATCTATAAAAATTAATGGTGTCATGGTTTTTCTTTTTATAGCATTTCATAGTAATAAATCATATGATTTTTATATTCCTAATAATAGTAAGTGCAATTGCATTTATATATGTCAAATATTATATAATGAAGTGTTGTTTATTGACTTATTTTGCTTTTTTTTTTAGTTGATGATTTTAATAAATCGAGTAGTAAGAAAAATAGTACTTCAAAAGTAAATAGCATATTTGAAGGTAATTGAATTACATTTTATTTGAAATAATCAAATGAATGAATAACTTATATTGATGATTATTTAGTTAGCAGCAAAATGTTATCCAATATATTTAAAATAAGCTCAAAAAATGGCAAGTAAAATAATTTAAAATATGTTGATTTTATTATAATATTAAACATGATTTATTATTTAGATGATTATAAGATTGAATCAATGCAAAAGCAAATAAAGAAACTTCATATTAATGATAATGGTATGATAATACAATTATCTAAATTCTTAAAATAATTATTCTATAGTATTTTTTTAATTTTAAATTTTAATTTATATTTAATAGATGAAGATGAAGCACATAACAATCCAAACCTTCATTCAGAAGAACAAGATGAATTGGAACTTCCTGAAAGTAAGAATTATTTTTTAAAATGTTTAAAATTTACTTCTTAAATTACCGAATTTAACGTTATATTTTTTTTCTTTATTTTAGACATTTAAATACAGAAGAATTATAAATTAGATAACCGACATTATTACACCTGATTTTTTTTTCTTATTATAAATTATTTAAACACTATGACTTGATAAGATTTGTTCAAGATTCTTAGTTTGTAATTTGAATAATTTATTGTTTTATTTTTTATTTTTTTTTATCCTTATATTATTTATGTTAGTAAAATATCATGTATGCAAACTGAATATGTTTTTATTGAATAAATTTTATAGTATATTTTTAAATGTAAAATTCTATAACATTTCATGCATCCGTTAATGTGGATATGTGGTTTAAAAAAAAAGAGGGAATACATACGTCATAAATATCATATATATTTAAAAAATTTCTTCTTTTTTCTCGCTATTCTTTTTTTTTAATACTTTATTGATTAACATGATCAGATATAGTCCTTTATACGGATGTATAAATCAATTTAATTTTTTTCTCGTTATAAAAAATGCGAATTTGAGATATAATTTTTTTTAGATGGAAAAAAAAAAGAAATATTATACATATTTAATGTATATAAACAAGAAAATATAGTAATGTAATGTAACGTGTATTTTAAAGAAAAATGGTAAAAATGAAAAAAAGTGTAGAATTAGAAAATGGCGAAAAAAAATGTTTGGCAATTTAAAGAATATGATTAACAAAAAAGAACTACATTATCAATTACCACGAAAAAATTTTACTAATAAAATTTTTATATAATGATTATAATAGTATAATACATATACAGATTTTTAATTTCTGATTTGATCCAAACTACTATGCAAAATTAAAATCGGAATTAGATAAAAGTTCTAAGATTTAAATTATGTTATAACTTCACCTTTTGTGCTTTGAATTAAATCAAGTATTTAATAATTTAATTAATAAAATTACGTCAGATAAACAAATAAATTTTAATTACTGAATTATTAATATGAGAATATTCCTATCACTTACATTACAATACTGGAAAAATATTGCCGAAGAATAGGGGCTGTACAACGTAAGATTCGCATAGATATTTTTTTTTCCGCATTTAAGCTCTAACAAAAAATTTCCTCTGCTTCAACATGAGGGTTGGAGATGTATATGCCAATCACCGCGATTTGCACGTGGTAGGATAGACGAAACAACAGTATGTATTAGTGATCTCTTTGGAATTCAAGTACAATAAAAACAGGTCAGTGATTTTAGCGAGGAAAAGAGGTCCCAATATGTCGAGCTCTGATGAAGTTGATTTCCGAGAGAAAAGAACAGTATTTTGGAGACTGACAGACCCTTTAATGTGGAACCTTGGGTATAATCTTAGGAGTCTCAAGCAGTTAGAGACATTAATTTCCCAGAACTAGAACCACGCTCGTAACAATGATATTTTGACGTTTCCACTCAAGGCGTTCATTATACTCTCTTGTGGACAGTGTTCCATAGACACTGCATCAAGAAGCAAAATTTTACTTACTAGATCGCTGACTGAATATCCATTTCCCGGTTATAAAAATAATGAAGATATGATTAAGGATCCCAACAATGATAATTCCAACACTAGGCAGAATTCTCAGTATAGTACATCGTCAGTAGTTGGGAGAATGGAAAACAAACTCTAGTCGACACAGCTGAGAGGAGCCTGATCAAGAAATGGAAAGGAAGTAGCAATTCACCTGGTTCCAACAGCAATTTAGAAGCTCCAAGACTGATATGCACAGAAAACACGCTCTATCGAATCGGGCGAGTCACTCAAAAAATCGTCTAGCAAGAAAAAGAAGACGTCTAATAAGAAGAGGTTGAAAGACGCGTTGCAAGATTATACCATGCTGAAAAGGCTTATTAAGGAATTAAATACGTTATCAAATTCTGTTTTGGATGTTTCAGAATCGCAACTCAAAGCCCCAGGAAATTTTACTGAATTGTATAATGCATTTATCAAAGCTGAGGGAGTACGAATCAAGAAATAATTAGAGCTTATTATTCGTTTTGTAAGGAACTTAAGGATAAGTTTACCACCTATAAAGTATGCATGCAAAGGACGTGGATCCAGAGAAAATTAAACGATGAAGTAGCAAAACAACTTCCCAATGATCTCTCTAAAAATGCAATTGAGAAGATTGTAGAAAGAGCAAGGAAGATTTATGATCTCTTCAGTGGTATCGGAGTGATAAAATATGACAGGTAAAACTTGTTCCGCATTAGGAATTTCTAAGTTGAGTTGGGATGCTTTACTATGCCGCAGTTGCGTGGTTTTCATGGGTTTCGAAAATAGCGCTTTTTATCAATGTATCAATGAAAAATTAATAAAGCTCGTCTCATCATACATTTCATTTGCTGCCTTCATTTTTACTGAAAGTTTTGCAGTGTATCAAAATATAAGTTATGATATATCAACCTTCTTATAAATCATTACATAATTGTGTTGAAATATTGGCAATAAAATCTAATGATGCATCAAAAAAGTATACAGAAATCAATTAATCATTGCTGAACTTACAACATATAAGATGTATAATAATGGTCATTCAAAAAATGTTTCTTACACTTCTTTCTCAAATATTTCCTTTTTTCATTCATAAAGAAAAATTTGTCACTATCTTTCTCGTAATTTTTGCTGCACTTGTGGTCCGTTGCGATTATTAAGATATGTGTATCTGAATTTACTATTTAAGATTATTACTAATATAAAACATCACTTACCCATTACTGGCGTTCTTCTCTTAATCGCCATTACGTCATACTTTAGATACAGTATTAGTCATTGGTTTGTTCACTTGTGTAACGTAAAGTCATCATAAAAGCCATAAAACTATCACACTGTATTAATCATAAACCTCTCCACGATGTCTAACAAATCAGAAGAAAAGAATATGGAGCCTAGGGCGCCTTTTAAATGGTCTAAAGAATCAGATGAAAAATTGAAAAAATTGAAAGAGGAGTTGAAAGCATCTATTAATTGGAGCGAAGTAGACAAGTGGAATGCAGACGGACGACCGTACGAAGAGCACGAAGAAATTTTAATGTTTTTGAATGAAAATGAGTTTATTAGCTTGGAATCAAATGGTAAACCTACTTACTGATTTATATTCTATTTCATGCATATGTTTGATCAATAAAGCCGAACTTGTTATATTTTTAAGGAACCGGGTGCACTGGCATTGACAGAGAAAGAAAACAGAGCAATGAAGGAGCACTTTACACAAGTTCCAGGAAGAGTAATCGAACGTCCAGGGAGGAGTGCCGTTCTAAAACTCCCACCGAAGATGCAACAACTCCCGGACGTTACTACCGTCAATATCGTAGTAAAGTTGTTGGATCCCATCAAATATCCAATTCAATCGCGAATCACAGAAAGAATACTCAATGATCTAAGTATTTCAGGTCTTTTAAATGGTGTTATTGGATTAAATGTGATGGGGAGGGTTAAAACATATGAAGTAGGAACAAAAAAATTAAATTCTGCGGTTAATGTTTACAATATTGTTCCAAAGGACATGATATTTATTCACCTGTTTTACCAAAAGAGCAGTATGTTATTTTACGCCACTTACGTGGTATATGGTTCAGAGCGTTAGCGTTCTTCACAGCTTATTCCAATTTCCTTAACGTTCATTATACTAATAGAATCAACATGTCCCCGTAATAATAGCAATAGTAATAGTATTTTTATTCTTTCTTTGATAAATCCAGATAATCCTAAATTATCTGGATACCCAATTATTTTTTGCACATAAATATAATAAATGAAGTTGCACAAAAAATCACGCACATTCGCACACTTGCTGCGCACATCATATGATTTAACATTTGCGTAAGCCACAAAAACATGTTAAGCCATTAGGTTAGTCCATTGGAACTTAGTTCCTATGCGACTAATACGAGTATTGGTTTACTATGAAAGAGATTTGGAATGAAATATAATAATCATGTTCATATTTTTTATGATAATGAAATAAAATAAAGAAATTACATAATATGTATAATAAACATTTTTATTAAATAAACATGTGCCCATTGCACACATCTCATGTTCGCACACACATATAGCGCACATGATATTCAATATTGCTCACATAACTAAAAATAATCACGTGTGCTGTGCTAATATGAGTTCTAATTCAGGCTAAATTTATAATTCCGGCCAGAATTACGCCATGATAAGATGATCATTTCCATTTTTGGTGAACTATTCCATAAAAAATTACTTTTTAAAAAATCAAAATTTTCCTTTTTATGAGATTATGTTACAAAAGTTTCCAAAAGGGAGATATTTTAGGTTAAACCCATTATAAAATTTGTCCAAGTTATTCATGTACAGAAATTCATCAGATTATCTGAATATCCAGAATTCAATCTGGATATCCGAATATTCATGAATACCCATTTCTAACAGATAACAAAATATAAGATTACTATCTTTTTATTGTATTGACTGGAATATATGCAATTGCCTTGTTTGATTTAATAGAGTCAACAAACATGAAAATTAAAGACATAGCTCTACCATTGTTTAAACCTGAACATATTAGAATTTTCTAACCAAGGGAGTGGAATTATTAATGTTAGATTAATTATTAGTTGATTTGTAATAATACTTAATTTGATATCTTTGTTAGACTAACGAAATAAAAGGCAAATAGTATTAGCTGTGAATTGCATATTTTGTAACATTACTTATTATATTATTGCATTATTATAAGCAGAATCATTTTAATTTAGGCCAAACAATAAAAGTGTTCAAAAAGTCAGCTGATGATCACGGAAATGACGGTAAGAAATTTCCCTTTTCAACAAAATACTTGTTTCACAAAAAAAAAAAGCTTTGTCGATCATAAATTAAGAATCGCGTTAAAATTGTTTAGATTGAAAAAATGTATTATCTAATTAGTTTAGTTTGTTTTAAATTTATGTAAAACTAAGAGAAAATATTTTCACCATTATTATGTGAAAGAAATTTGTATTAACGAATGAATTCAGTTAATTATCATTAAAATAGGTTATGATTATAAAAATTCCAACTGATTTGTAAATAATTATTATGACAAAAAATAAATTTAATGTTTCCATCTATTTTAACATCAATTTTTCTTAATTTTATTGTTAAAACAATTTGATATTTAATTACATAAATATTTTCTTAAAATTCAAAAATTTAATAATTTTAATAATGTCAAAAGTAATTATGGATCAAAGATATTATAAATTATCTTTAAATAAAATTAACAAATTTGCCTTTAAAATGATTGACTGCGTTATATAATTATTATTATCTATGGAAAAAAAATTACAAAAAATCATTACTATATTAATAAACGAAAATATCATAATTTTGCTTAATCGGATAAATGTGAAGCGGCCAGTATTTTCAATCATGGACACGTGAACAAAGTTAGCTTAATAATCAAAACAAGTAAATGTTAAAATATTACAGGGGATAGCAAAATTTTATTAAAATTAGATTTAATGCTCTGAAAAAACAAAATTTAAAGTATTAATTGAAAGGTGAACAAAAAAGAAACTGATTGGTAATCAATTATTGCTAAAAGTATCTGCTGAACACGTCTAGGTTACTTCTGTATCATATGCGAACATAAAGAAAAATAAAATGAAGAAAACGAGTAATTTTTTATTAAGCTCACTAAATGTACTTAAATTGTCCTAGTCAAACATCTGACTCAATACAACCAAATTAATAGTAATACAAATGAAATATCTTTAATAATAATTAGTAAAACAAGTAAATCAAATAAGTGAAAAAATAAACAAATAAGATTGAACCAATAATGTTACTTTTTCATAATTAAATCCTTCTTCTAGTTGAATATTAGTGTTAAAATTAGTAAATGATTGATATATTGCGGATAATTACGGTTAATCAACGTTAATTAATATTTTTTTTTAATGTTATTATTCATTTTTTATAGTGATTATATTAGCTAAATTTTGTCTAAAAATATTTTATGCATGATTTATTAAAATTACCTTTTTAAAAAAGGATATTTAAGAATTAAAATAATTTCAGATATAAAGAATTTTGCTGGTGTATTATATATTATTCCTTCAACATTGAACATTCTTATAAGAATATATTTTCAAGGAACGTGAGTTTAAATAATTTGCTTTAATAAAATGGAATATATAATATATTATTTTTTTTAATCCATATTTTCTTATAAATACAAATATTCTTTTTTAGGTTTTAAATTTATAGTTTATTTCTTTTTAATTAAAGCAAAATAAAAGCTTATGTTATCATCACGTTTAACTTTAAATAATGAAGGCTCATCTGCAATATTCAGTGATTTATATTTAGTTATTGTAAATATTCACTCTCATCATACGACATTTTTTTATTGCCGCGTCATATAATTAAGTTTATATTATTATTAACGTTAACTAATTTTAAAATAATTGACTAATCATTATACTTAATTCAATATTTTCCTTAATTGTATTTATTTATTTATCTTGTTAAATTTACATTATTTACGATGTGATTTATTCCAATTAATTAATAAATCCGATTTAAATTGATTAAAGGATAGATTGATAATATTTGCAAAAGATAATATTTTATTATTTACGATTCGAAAAAATTTATTTATTTATTTAGGTATTTATTTTAATAAGTATATATATTGTCTTAATTTGAGAAATAGAGTGAATTTATTCCTAACCCGGGGTGAGACCTGATATTACTCTTCCCTCCCCCCTAAACTTCAATTTTGATTGGTTAATCTCTGACTAATTTTTCTAATTTCGAAATTTTCTGGTTAAAAAAAAAAAATTTTTGCAGCAAGAACGCTTTTTTTTTTATATATATAAAATTATAAGGTTAAAGATGAATTTTCAAGTTACTAAGGGATGAAAAAGGTCAAAACACCAAAGATAAGAACGAAAATAACAAGTAAAAAAATAAAGATAATGAAATTCCAAGGTTAAAGAACGAAAAGAACAAACCCAAAGATTAAGAACGAAATCGGATAAAATAACGAAGTTAAAAGAATAAAGAAAAGGATAAATAACAAAGTTAAAGAACAAAAAAAAAAATGAAGCATCAAAGTTAAAGAAAGAAAGAAACCTATAAAAGATGAATGGAATAAAGTTAGTAAGGAATAAAAAAAAAAACAACAAAAGACAAAAAAGAAAACGTACCGTTAACCGAGTTCTATCTTCTCTAAGCTTAATATTAAAAGCGTCTAATAATGAGAAAAAAAAAGGAGGAAAGTGTATAACAAAAACAAGGAAACTGGTAGAAAGGGAAACAAAAAAGAAAGAGATATGGAGAAAAGGTGAAAAAAGGTGAAAAAGGATANGGAACGAAAAAAAGAAAAGGGAATAAAAAAGAAAGGAGATAATAAAGTAAAATGAAAAAAAAAATAAGAAAGGAAGATAAAAATAAGAAAAGATAAAGAAAACGATATAGAAAGGTGATAAAATAAAAAAGGGGTAGAACAAAAATAAATTAAAAGGTCAAAAGGATGAAAACCTTAAAAAAAAATCCATAAAGAACAAAACCCATAAAGTTAAAAAATAAAAAAAATATAAGTTAGTTAAAGAACAAAATACAAGAAACGAAAACAAAAAAGAAAAATGTACAGTACCTTGTCCGACAGAAATTGCAAAAATGAAAAATAAAAAGAACATACTATCATTCTATCAAAACAAAAAAGGACATAAAACAAAGAAATATCTACTGATGATGACGTAATTATCGACCAATCAAATTTTTTGAATTTTCACGTGATCAGGAGGTGAATATATTCACTCCGGTTATGAATAACTTTTCTCTGAGAAATATTATAAATAGCTTTTTTTTTCATTCTACCATAAATTATATATTGGAACAACTGTTTACAGAACCTATATTATGGGTTAAAAATGAAATTTTTTTTTCCTCAACGTAAAAAAAAAAAAAAAAAATAATCAAAAAAAAATCGATCTGCATATCAAATTGAGGTGGTTCATTGACTCATTGTTGCTTTATGTAACGTTATTTGTTTACGCGTGATTAAATTGTTTGTTTGCGCGTGATTAAATTATTTGTTTCGCGTGATTATGTGCGCCAAAATCTTTTTTAAGAATGAAAAGAATGAATAAATTGTTTGTTTGCGCGTGATTAAATTGTTTGTTTACGCGTGATTAACTCAATGCGTGATTAACTCAATAAATAGAATTCTGGGGTCATAATTCCGGCTTAACCTTTCTATTCTTTTTTTTTCTTCGTTTCAAAGCCCATAACAAAAAAATTTTAAACCTTTGATTTATATTTCTTTATGTCTTATAGTTATAATCAATCTGTTAATGCTGCGATAAATAGAGCTAATGCATTAATAGATTATAATACTTGCAATGACATGCACCAAGCATTTGAATCTGTACGACAAACCCTTCTTGTTGATGATTCACTTACAGAAAATGAAAGAAATGAAGCAATAATAATAACCTCTAAAATTTACGATACTTATAAAATTATTAATAATGAAGGAACGAAAAGAATTTGTGAAAATTGTAACCAAGAATGTTTAGCTACAACATATTGTGAACTTTGTGTTCGAAATTATTTAAAAGAAAATTTTTCAAATTGGACATCCGGAAATGATGCTGTTGATAATTTAATAAAAGAATGTCAATTGAATACATTAGAACCAATAAAGACAATAGAATGGATTCCATATAATCATTTGGAAGATATTAAATATTTAACAAAAGGCGGGTGTTCTGAAATTTACACAGCAATTTGGATTGATAAAAGATATGATGAGTGGGATTCTAGAGAACAACGATTAAAAAGAATTGAAAAACCTGGATTTGTACAAAGTGTAATACTTAAAGGATTGGAAAATGTTGAAAATGCAAGCCTTAATTGGTTTGAAGAGGTTTGCAATTTAAAGTATTTAAAGTTGATAAGATTCTATTAAGTTATTAATGAATTTTTTTATAGGCTACAGCCCATTTAATTTTGAGTACTAGATGCTCAGAAATTGTCCAATGTTATGGTTTAACACAAGATCCATCAAATGGAAATTATATGCTTGTATTGAATATAATGGATATAGATTTAAGAAAATATTTACAACAAAACCATAAACAACTTACATGGAAAGAAAGAATTTACCTTGTATATTATATAGCTAATGCACTTGCACAAATTCATTATGTGAATGCAATTCATAGAGATTTGCATTCCGGAAACATATTATTTAGAATTGGTCAAAGTCCTTTTATTAGTGATCTTGGATTTTGTGGACCTGCAGATAGACCATTAAAAAGTATATATGGAAATCTTCCTTATGTAGCGCCTGAGGTTATTGTTGGAAAAGAACAAACTTTTGAATCTGATATTTATAGTATCGCAATGCTTATGTGGGAAATTTCATCTGGACGACCACCATTTAATAATTATGAACATGATTATCAACTTGCAACGAATATTGTTAATGGTATTAGACCAAAAATTGTACCAGGAACTCCTTTAGAATATAAAAATTTAATGGAACAATGTTGGGATGCTGATCCATCGAAGAGACCTCATATTATTACGCTTCGGAATAAATTAAGTGAAATTTATCAAAATAGCTCGGATGAACTATTAGTTCAACCAGAAGACGACAGTTTTGAAACGGAAAACTATAATAGCAGTAACATATCATCTACTAGTAAACTTCATTATTTTGAAAATCTTCCTTCACCAAGAAATGCAACAGAAGGTATTATACTTACTTAAAGTATATTGACTATTAAAAAGACGTATTAATTTATATTATTAATTTTTTTTTAATTTTAATAATAGAAGAACAAGAAGGTATATATTAAAACGAATTGCCATTTTATTTTACTGCAGATGATTAATTATAATATGTTTTTATAGCGTTTCATAGTAAATCATATGATTTTGACATCCCTAATAATAGTAAGTGTAATTACATTTATGTTAAATAATTTATAGTAAAGTATTATTTATTAACTTATTTTGCCTTTTTTAGTTGATGATTTTAATAAATCAAGTGATCAGAAAGATAATATATTGGAAATAAATAGTACATTTAAAGGTAATTTCACTATTTTATTTTAAAATGGTATAAAATTATTTGGAAATTGCTAAATCTTTTCACCAGTGGGATATACGTAATTTTTATCACGTGACCTCCATGAACTTTTGTCACCGGTGACCTCTGTTTTTGTATTTTTATTATTTATTTTAGAAACTTGAAATGGGCAAATCCTATGGTCACCTTATATGTCACACTGGCAACGGTCACCACTGGTGATCTTTAGCGAAACCTAAATTATTTAATTAATATTCACTAATTTAATATAAATTTTTAGACGTCCAAAGTAATGATAAAATCGAAACAATGCAAAAGGAGGAAGATAAACATTATACTAATGTTAAAGGTATATTAAATAATTATTATACTTATTATACTGATGATTATTTTGTATTTTTTAATTTTTTTAATTTTGATTTATATTTGGTAGATGATGATGATATATATAATAATCCAAATACTCATTCAGAAGAACAAGATGAATTGGGACTTTCTGAAAGTAAGAGTCACTCTTTTAGAAATATAAAGTATATTTAAAAAAAAATCCTTATAAATGGTGCTAACTTAATATAAATTTTTAGAACTCCAAAGTAATTATAAAATTGAAACAATGCTAAAGCAAGGAGAGAAACATTATAATATTGATGGTATGTCAAATAACTATTATACTGATGATTATTTTAGTATTTTTAATTTTGTTTTAATTTTTTTTTTAATTTGGTAGATGATGATGATATATATAATAATCCAAATATTCATTCAGAAGATCAAGATGTATTAAACTTTTCTGAAAGTAAGAATTATTCTTTTAAAACGTATAGTATAATTAAAAAAATTCTCAAAATGGTGCTAACTTAATATAATTTTTTAGACATCCAAAGTAGTTATAAAATTGAAACAATGCAAAAACAAGAAGAAAAACATCATATTAATGTTGATGGTACGTTAAATAATAATTATATTGATGATTATTTTAGTATTTTTAAATTAATTTTAATTCTGATTTATATTTTATAGATGATGATGATATATATAATAATCCAAATATTCATTCAGAAGAACAAGATGAATTAGAACTTTCTGAAAGTAAGAATTATTCTTTTAAAAAATATATAATATATTTAAAAAAAATCTAAAAAAATGGCGCTAACTTAATACAATTTTTTAGACATCCAAAGTAGTTATAAAATTGAAATGATGCAAAAACAAGAGGAGAAACACTATCCTAATGTTGATGGTATGTTAAATTACTAATATACTGATGATTATTCTAGTATTTTTTTAATATATTTTAATTTTGATTTATATTTGATAGATAATGATGAAATATATAATAATCCAAATATTCATTCAGAAGAACAAAATGAATTGGAACTTCCTGAGAGTATGAATTACTCTTTTAGAAAATTATAGTATATTTAAAAAAAAATCTCAAAAAATGGTGCTAACTTAATATAAATTTTAGACGTCCAAAGTAATTATAAAATCGAAACAATGCAAAACCAAGAAGAAAAACATTATACTAATGTTGAAGGTATGTCAAATAACTATTATGCTAATGATTATTTAGTATTTTTTGATTTTATTTTTAATTTTGATTTATATTTAGCAGATGATGACATATATAATAATCCAAATATTCATTCAGAAGAACAAAATGAATTGGAACTTCCTGAAAGTAAGGATTACTCTTATAAAATCATGTAGTATAAAAAAATCCTTAAAAAATGGCGCTAAATTAATAATAAATTTTTAGACGTCCAAAGTAGTTATAAAATTGAAACAATGCAAAAGCAAGAAGAGAAATACTACCCTAAATTTGAAGGTATGTTAAATAACTATCATACTGATGATTATTTTAATATTTCTTTAATTTTTTTTTAATTTTAATTTGTATTTGATAGATGACGACGATATATATAATAATCCAAATATTCATTCAGAAGAACAAAATAAATTGGAACTTCCTGAAAGTAAGAATTATTCCTTTAGAAATGAATAATATATTTAAAATAAAATTCTCAAAAAATGGTACTAACTTAATTTAAATTTTTAGACGTCCAAATTAATTATAAAATTGAAACAATGCAAAAGCAAATTAAAGTTGATGGTATGTAAAGTAATTATTATGCTGATTATTATTTGGTGTTTTTTGTTTATTTTTTTTGATTTGATATATACTTAAGATGATAAAATATTCATCAAAAAACTAGATGAATCGAAACTTCCTAAATGTAAGAATGGCAAGAAACATGTCTTAAGACAACTTTGGTGTTTTAAAACATGTTTTGCATGTTTTGAAAGATGTTTTAAACCGTTCAGTAAATAATATTGTATTGCAAATGAATTATATAAATTAAGCATTATTATATCTGAAATTTTATTATTATTATTATAAATTATTTAAATACTGTCTCGATGAATTTATTTTGTATTTTATATATTATTATATGGGTTTTTTTTCTACGCACTCACAGGTGCATATATTACATATTATCATATAGTTTTTAGTTTTGCATGGAGCAAAAATTTAAATAAAATTTATTAAAATTTTAACAATGTAACATTGTAACATGCATTTTGTTACGCATCCCTCTATTATTATAGAATTTATAAAATAAAATAGTAAGCGTTGAATTAAATAATTTTTATAATTTTCTAAATATTCTAAATAGGTTAACAACAAATACTACTGTAATTCAATTTTCCACCAAATTTTAATAGTATAAACTTCATGTAGCCATATTTCTTCGACAAGTGACCTGTTACAAAAACCTTCAGAGGTATTCCAGTAGCATCCAATGTACATTGAAGTATCTAAGCACAAGCTGTTCGGTAAGGTGTTTAGGGATTAGCAAAATTTTTACCCAGAAAGGACCTGTAGTTTATTAAGAGCTATGAAATCCGTCCAAGATAATTTACGTTCATATTTTATTATATTAGTTTTATTACGCTATAATGCTTACTGTATTTAGTTAAATTTTTTCCGCGCTTTACCACAATGGTGTATAGTATATATAATAAAAATTCTAATAGTTCACAACCATTGAAGTACCTAGAGTTTTTGTTACATGGATTTATTTAAATAAAAAGTAATTTCGAGAAAAAAATTTCAAGTTTTGAGATAATCATATTATTTGATGGTAGATTTGCTTTATGAGGAGAGATTCAGGAACTGTTTTGCAATATCATCTTGCTTTGTGTATGTGATTGTTATTCGCGCTTATCTGGTCTGTAGCGCAGTTTGTTATTTTAAAGATAATCCTTTTATCTAAAAGGTATAATATAATGTAAGTGGCGGTAACTGATTTTGAATGACCGATGTATGTATGAGTAAATTTATAGAGATGGTATTTCACAATGGTCACGCATTCCTAATAGAATAATATTATAATAGAAACGCATGGAAAGCTATTAACAAAGTTCTTCAACATCCGCAAGTCGTGCAGTAAACTATTGTCAGATCATTTTCTGAATGCCATTTTCCTGAATACAGTATATCTCTTCCCGAAGTCAGTTACCTGAATACTAATTTCCCGAACTGGACCCTTTTCTGAAACGTACAATTTCCGATTCCTTATTTCCCAATTCCCGAGCTCCAATTTTCTGAAATCCTATTGTATTTCCCGACAATAAATTACTGTTTTTAAACTTTTTTGCCAAATAATAATATTTGTAGAATTATCGAATAAGAATTATATAGAAACTTCGGTATAATTATAATATGTAAAATTATATTTTAGAATATCTTTGCTATTACTAGATATTTGTTAATTTCGCAATATATATAAAAAAATAAATTTTAAGTTTTTAATAGTATCATGGTCATCTGATCTCCTTAAATAGATAGATCTGTCACGTAAATCACATGATGTTTAAATCATGTGATGTTTAGTTTTCCACTTTGCGGAATTTTACAAAGAATATTAAATACCGTTATAAAAGTGTTTCTTATTGTATTATAATATAACTCTGTCAAAATTAAATGAATTTTATTAAATTTCATTGTACACATTTTTTATTATTCTCAATAAATGTATTTCTAGTCTTATCTTTCCATGATTTCAGCATTGTTAATCGTTTCTCGATAAAATTAACCGCAATATTTTCTAACCATTTTTTTCTTTGAGTCAAAAATAAAGAAATTCTTTATTATAATCGTCTAATAATGTCTTAAATTTAATTTTCATAGTTTTGCAACACTCTTCACAATCATTATCAATGTCAATACTTCTACAAGTTCTTGCCAAATTGTAATGTCAGATTTTGAGAGTAAGTGATAAGTCTTTCTTCGAACCTATACATTAAATTAATATAATGAAGAATGGCTCTCTAATAATAATAATAATAATAATAACATTTGTAACTAAAAAAAATTATTTTTACCTGCTCATATCGTCTGATAAAAAAAATGCTAAATAATATTTAATAATAATAATAATAATAAAATTAATAATAATAACAAAAAATTTGAAATAAAATTTGTTTGTTATAAATATAAAAATTATATGGAATTATAGAATTCATTAAAATCTTTTACCTTCGCTTTGACTTACCCACGTTCAATTCGCTGGAACCAGCTTGGCTTCGCGCCCAACATGACCACTTACCGCTTTTGAAAATCTACCACGAATACATTGATCCCATTTAGGGAAAAAATATACAACGAAAAGAACCTTTCTATTCTCGTTTGTTATCATTTAGAAACTTGTCCTTTTTCTACAATCTTTACACGAAGTTTTTATTTCATTATTTTCACCTGAAAACTTAATATTGTCTTTGTTTGGCAGCACACTTTGAAAAACAATTATATTCATTTGTATTCTCTAACATTGTATTATGTTTTGTTTTACAAAAAAAATATTTTGAATATGATACATCACGTGATTTACGTGACAGATGTATTCTACATTAACCCCAGTGACACCGAAAAAAATTCCGCAATAGTAAATTTATTCATCACATGTGTCACGTCCCTCTGTGTTTCCATTTTCTATAAGTATCTGAGGGACTCAGTTTTTTTCGATTAGTCAAAATCCTATTTGTCACGCCCTTAGTCGTCACTGTTTATTCACGTGTTACTGCATAGTGCCGGCCCTGTGCGGAATTTTTTGGGCAGATTTTCGGGTGTCATAGGAGTAGTTCAGATCTACTGGGTGATGCTGCGGTCATCCAATATTATGGGATTTGAGATATTGTGATTCAGGATTCGGAAATTGTATATTTCGGGAAAATGCTGACTTCGGGAAAGGTATATTTGATCATACTGTAACCGTAGAACATAATACATAACAATCTGATTAAAATGTGATTATTTTTTTTGCATAATTTTAAATAATTTTTATTAGGACATAGCAATCAACAATACGACGAAAAATAAGGTTTCTTTTTTAAATGCTTTTTCATTATAAATTTGTAAATTATCGTAATTATTATGAAAATTTATTATTGTAAAAATATTATTTTNGAATCGAAACTTCCTAAATGTAAGAATGGCAAGAAACATGTCTTAAGACAACTTTGGTGTTTTAAAACATGTTTTGCATGTTTTGAAAGATGTTTTAAACCGTTCAGTAAATAATATTGTATTGCAAATGAATTATATAAATTAAGCATTATTATATCTGAAATTTTATTATTATTATTATAAATTATTTAAATACTGTCTCGATGAATTTATTTTGTATTTTATATATTATTATATGGGTTTTTTTTCTACGCACTCACAGGTGCATATATTACATATTATCATATAGTTTTTAGTTTTGCATGGAGCAAAAATTTAAATAAAATTTATTAAAATTTTAACAATGTAACATTGTAACATGCATTTTGTTACGCATCCCTCTATTATTATAGAATTTATAAAATAAAATAGTAAGCGTTGAATTAAATAATTTTTATAATTTTCTAAATATTCTAAATAGGTTAACAACAAATACTACTGTAATTCAATTTTCCACCAAATTTTAATAGTATAAACTTCATGTAGCCATATTTCTTCGACAAGTGACCTGTTACAAAAACCTTCAGAGGTATTCCAGTAGCATCCAATGTACATTGAAGTATCTAAGCACAAGCTGTTCGGTAAGGTGTTTAGGGATTAGCAAAATTTTTACCCAGAAAGGACCTGTAGTTTATTAAGAGCTATGAAATCCGTCCAAGATAATTTACGTTCATATTTTATTATATTAGTTTTATTACGCTATAATGCTTACTGTATTTAGTTAAATTTTTTCCGCGCTTTACCACAATGGTGTATAGTATATATAATAAAAATTCTAATAGTTCACAACCATTGAAGTACCTAGAGTTTTTGTTACATGGATTTATTTAAATAAAAAGTAATTTCGAGAAAAAAATTTCAAGTTTTGAGATAATCATATTATTTGATGGTAGATTTGCTTTATGAGGAGAGATTCAGGAACTGTTTTGCAATATCATCTTGCTTTGTGTATGTGATTGTTATTCGCGCTTATCTGGTCTGTAGCGCAGTTTGTTATTTTAAAGATAATCCTTTTATCTAAAAGGTATAATATAATGTAAGTGGCGGTAACTGATTTTGAATGACCGATGTATGTATGAGTAAATTTATAGAGATGGTATTTCACAATGGTCACGCATTCCTAATAGAATAATATTATAATAGAAACGCATGGAAAGCTATTAACAAAGTTCTTCAACATCCGCAAGTCGTGCAGTAAACTATTGTCAGATCATTTTCTGAATGCCATTTTCCTGAATACAGTATATCTCTTCCCGAAGTCAGTTACCTGAATACTAATTTCCCGAACTGGACCCTTTTCTGAAACGTACAATTTCCGATTCCTTATTTCCCAATTCCCGAGCTCCAATTTTCTGAAATCCTATTGTATTTCCCGACAATAAATTACTGTTTTTAAACTTTTTTGCCAAATAATAATATTTGTAGAATTATCGAATAAGAATTATATAGAAACTTCGGTATAATTATAATATGTAAAATTATATTTTAGAATATCTTTGCTATTACTAGATATTTGTTAATTTCGCAATATATATAAAAAAATAAATTTTAAGTTTTTAATAGTATCATGGTCATCTGATCTCCTTAAATAGATAGATCTGTCACGTAAATCACATGATGTTTAAATCATGTGATGTTTAGTTTTCCACTTTGCGGAATTTTACAAAGAATATTAAATACCGTTATAAAAGTGTTTCTTATTGTATTATAATATAACTCTGTCAAAATTAAATGAATTTTATTAAATTTCATTGTACACATTTTTTATTATTCTCAATAAATGTATTTCTAGTCTTATCTTTCCATGATTTCAGCATTGTTAATCGTTTCTCGATAAAATTAACCGCAATATTTTCTAACCATTTTTTTCTTTGAGTCAAAAATAAAGAAATTCTTTATTATAATCGTCTAATAATGTCTTAAATTTAATTTTCATAGTTTTGCAACACTCTTCACAATCATTATCAATGTCAATACTTCTACAAGTTCTTGCCAAATTGTAATGTCAGATTTTGAGAGTAAGTGATAAGTCTTTCTTCGAACCTATACATTAAATTAATATAATGAAGAATGGCTCTCTAATAATAATAATAATAATAATAACATTTGTAACTAAAAAAAATTATTTTTACCTGCTCATATCGTCTGATAAAAAAAATGCTAAATAATATTTAATAATAATAATAATAATAAAATTAATAATAATAACAAAAAATTTGAAATAAAATTTGTTTGTTATAAATATAAAAATTATATGGAATTATAGAATTCATTAAAATCTTTTACCTTCGCTTTGACTTACCCACGTTCAATTCGCTGGAACCAGCTTGGCTTCGCGCCCAACATGACCACTTACCGCTTTTGAAAATCTACCACGAATACATTGATCCCATTTAGGGAAAAAATATACAACGAAAAGAACCTTTCTATTCTCGTTTGTTATCATTTAGAAACTTGTCCTTTTTCTACAATCTTTACACGAAGTTTTTATTTCATTATTTTCACCTGAAAACTTAATATTGTCTTTGTTTGGCAGCACACTTTGAAAAACAATTATATTCATTTGTATTCTCTAACATTGTATTATGTTTTGTTTTACAAAAAAAATATTTTGAATATGATACATCACGTGATTTACGTGACAGATGTATTCTACATTAACCCCAGTGACACCGAAAAAAATTCCGCAATAGTAAATTTATTCATCACATGTGTCACGTCCCTCTGTGTTTCCATTTTCTATAAGTATCTGAGGGACTCAGTTTTTTTCGATTAGTCAAAATCCTATTTGTCACGCCCTTAGTCGTCACTGTTTATTCACGTGTTACTGCATAGTGCCGGCCCTGTGCGGAATTTTTTGGGCAGATTTTCGGGTGTCATAGGAGTAGTTCAGATCTACTGGGTGATGCTGCGGTCATCCAATATTATGGGATTTGAGATATTGTGATTCAGGATTCGGAAATTGTATATTTCGGGAAAATGCTGACTTCGGGAAAGGTATATTTGATCATACTGTAACCGTAGAACATAATACATAACAATCTGATTAAAATGTGATTATTTTTTTTGCATAATTTTAAATAATTTTTATTAGGACATAGCAATCAACAATACGACGAAAAATAAGGTTTCTTTTTTAAATGCTTTTTCATTATAAATTTGTAAATTATCGTAATTATTATGAAAATTTATTATTGTAAAAATATTATTTTTTAAACAAAGTATTTTTTAAATACTTAATTAAAGTATGAGTATATTTTGATAAATATAAAAAAAAAAAGATTGAAATGGGTTTAAATACTTAAAAGGTTGTAAATTAATTTAGTTATTTATATTTAAAAGAATTTTAAATTCATTAAAATTATATTATATTAAATAATATTGAATTCCTATTGTGAATTTTCAGCATATTGCAATAGATTTGCAAAATCATCTTGATGCCAAGCCCAAGAGGCGGTACTAAAATCAGGATAAGGTTCATATAATATACCATGTGAAATACCCATTACATTGCCTGCGTTAGTATTTGGATCATAATTTCTTAGCCAAGGACCCCCACTTGAGCCGTAACCAACATCTACATTTATACCTCTATACCACTCGTAATTTGGAAGAGTTGATGGAAAATCAAATGAATCTCCTTGCCACTGACAAAGATGTTGTCCATCTTTGGGACAGTTCACGAAATCACCAGAATTATCACCTGGATAACCAAATACAGTAGCTGGAACATTTCCTTGAGGTATAACGAGATCATAATCGAAAGCTCCTGTATCATCTTGTAATTTTCTTCCTTCTGGGTAATAAAACTTTATAAAGCCATAATCAAACCTTGTAATGTCTTGCCTAAAATCTCCCCATATAAACGATTTATAAGCATAAACTTTTCCAACTCTACCTGGTGCATTATTGTTGTACCCAGGAAAAAAATAAAGATTAGTATTCCACGTCTGAAGATTATGATCAAAAATACAATGTGCAGCGGTAATCGCAATATTTCCATTATTAGTTCTAATTACAGAGGCAGTACAATCATCATCTGATCCGTCTGTTTTTACAATATTTAAGAGTCCGACAGAATTTATATTATTAATATCATCAACAAAAAAATCTGTTGTATTACTCGTTCTTTCTTCTGATGGAATATCATATGTTTTAATCATAGGTTCCATTTTTGCTCTTTTACTCATAGGTTTAGAACTTGCTGGAAACGCATAACTTGAATTCGTTATGATTATCAATAATACAACAAATATACATAGTATATATTTCTTCATTTTTGTTAAGGTAACGTATTTTTAGAAAATTGATATATAGTGGGAAAAGTTAGAGAAGTTAAGGAATGTCTTATTTTCATCGCTTTATATATTTTAAAAAAACGATGTTCATCTATGATCTAGTGATGCCACTACTCCCATTCTCTCATTCTATTGTATATCGTCATTAAAATTTAATTTATTTAATAAAAAGGAGGCCGAAAATCTTTGTCGAGCAATAATCTTACTCTTACTCACCATCTCTTTGTCCATATATTTTCTTTCCTTGGTGAACCTGAAATAATTTCTTTACCAAGTATCTTAAGTATTCCTTGGAATCCATTAATTCCACTTTATCTTTTACTCCAGTGACATCTTTTTTAATACGACAATATCATTGGTTAGAATAAACACTTTCTAAATTTTATATTTATCAACATCGATATCACCTCTTTTCTAATTCCGTAGTATCGACAGTATCGACATAAACAGAAAATTCTCTTTTCGTCCGTCCTTTTTAATAAAACATTTGTAAAATCAATTAGATACATTTCTTGGGGATGTTTCACAAATTCTTAAGAATTAGATTGTTAAACATTTTAGTTAGATTCGGTATATTATATGATCATTGCCTAAGGGGGGTGGTAAATCCTAAAATTTAAATTATGTCGTTTCTGGCCATCCCCTCAATTATTTGTAAATGGAATATCATAAATTATTTATTATACATCTTTGATTAATATTTATGTTTTTACTTAATTATGGAATTACTATTAAAGTTTTTCCTGTTCTCACAGAGAATACATAAATGAGTTAAAAAAGAATTTGAATTTTGGTGTAATGTAAAAATACCAATCAATAAAATGTTCTATATGTTATCTTCAAGGTAATAAGTATAACGATGGCTATTAAAAAGACGCAAAAAGACAAAAAAAATTAATTTGTGTAGGCATATCACCAATAAGAAATTTTTTTTAAACACCCTGCACCAATTATGCCCTATCTTTTTTATATTATAAATGTATATAAATAAAAAACGATCGTCATCTTTTTTATATATACTAATTATTAAATGTATATAAATAGAAAACGATCATCATCAATAATAAAATGAATAAGGAAACGATCTCTTTTTCACATTTTTCACATGAAAATCAACGTAACCTTTTCTCGAAAGACATTATCCCAATATAACATTTTTCCAAATCATGTAAATTTTTTAATTTTAATTAGTGATAATAGAATATTGTTTTACAATAACTATACAAATAATGTTTGACAAATAGATATAATAAAATAAATTAAGCAAAATAGCAGAATTATCTTCTGTAGTAAACATGGTTCCTTCCGCCTGTTTAGTTTGAGTGTTTGAACTATGCTATGTATAAAAAAAGGTGCGGTACATTTCGCCGAAATCCATTTCACCGAAGGGATATTTCATCGAAGGGACGTGGTCGTTTCTTTGAAAGTGCATTTTATCGAATCCATTTCACCGAATCGTCCATTTTACCGAATTGTCCTTTCGCCGAAAATGGTAGCGATTAACATTTTAATAAAATATTCATCGCGCAATGAAAATAAAAATTAAATTATTTTTAGAGATTTTTGTTTTCCAGGATTATTATAAATTTAACATTCAAGTAACTGATATTAATTGTTAAGAAATAAATAAATAACTTTATTTTCCTGAAAACATTTATTCACGAAAAAGTAAGTAAAAAAAGACTATTGATATATTATAAACAACGAGATAAATTTAATAAAAATCAGCCTATCCAAAAATTTTTCTAGAAAACATTTCTTTTATGTATTTAGTATAAAAACAATAAAATAACTAAGTGGAATAAATAATTTTCCGCGAATGTCCATTCGGCGAAATGTCCATTTGATAAAATGACTCCGGCGAAATGGGAGTTTCGGTGAAATGGTATTTCGACGCAACGTTCTTTCGGCGAAATGGCTTCGGTGAAATAGGTTTCGGTGAAATGGACTTCAGCGAAAAGTCCCGATACCATAAAAAAATAAGTATCGTATAGCACTGACTAAAAGACCCCCCTTTGACGTCCCCTGTAACATTAACTAATTTAATCCCCTGTCGCACTAATTGTCGCACTAAGTGTCACTCATGATCACCTTCATACTAATTTTAAAAATTGCGAGTGATTAGCTGAGTTTATAAATGACCGGGAATCTTCGTTTAGTTATTTTCCGGTCTCATATAGATAGCCGGGAAATTACTAATTTTAGTTTAAATAGTTAAAATAGTTAATATTTAATAAGTGACACGCTCCAGGGGATTACCCATTTATTTCCAACTCCCCATGAAATAAATAATACAAATAGTATGTAAAATCAAAATTAATATTTAAATAAACAACTATTGTTCAAGTCATTAATAATCATTAAAAATAATATTCATTATTTGATTATTGTTTAATTACTTTGTTTTGAATGAGTCAAGTGGCTTGCTGCGGGGATGCTTATTAATTTTCTTTCTTTGTTATTTACAGTATGATTGTACCCAAATTATATTTAATGATTTTTTTTAGTTAAGTGTTTCTTTCTTATCTTAGAGAGTTCAAATGGACCAGATACCACCAAATAATTCCGTGTCAAATTTGTAGGTTTATTTTCCATCAGAATCCCAAGCCCAACGTCACAATCCTGACAAATCATAATCTCGAAAGTTCGAAATTTTGATACTCATTATAACAACATTTATTATCTTTTTTTTTAGTTTTATAATACTTTGTAACGAATAATATTTCTATTAATATCATATATGTAATAATTTTAAAAAATTAAATTTTTTTTATTAATACGTCGCAAAATTAAATAATAATTAAATATTTTTAATATAATAACATAAATTTTTAAAATATTTCGCAAAAATCAATGTTTTTATTCCAAAAATTATATTTTTATTAATATTTAATAATTTTAATAATCATACTTTACAAAATTTAATGAATTACTATTAATGTTGTTGGTTAGAAAAAATAAATTTCAGTTCTTTGCTTATTTTAATAAAAAAATATAAAAAATATAATTTTTTTTTTTTTAATATACTGATTAGAATTTAATAATCATTTTTTTATTAATGAGGATATTAAGTGTCGGGATAATGAGTGTTGGATTTTGAATTTTCGAAATTATGATTTGTCATGTTTGTAAGCGTCGGGTTTTTGTTATAACGGGATTTCGTAGTAACTCCAAAATGGCAATAGACAATTATTAAATTATACTTTTTTAGCTTAGATATATTAATTTATTTATAGCTCATCATCTCTTAAGCCTATCGTAAAAAATTGACATGTTATAGTATGATAGATTAAAACATGGTGAAGAATTGGGTTAGATAGTAGGATAATTAGTTAGATATATAAACCTTGCAGGAAGATTTTGCGATTCCCGCCGTGTTGTAAATAAAATACAATAAACCATTTATAAATTTTTTCTCTTGTTATTCAAACTTCTGTATATCATAAAAAATAAAAAATAAAAAAAACAAATATACAAATAATCCATATTCAAAAAATTAATTTTTATTCCTCAGCATGGTGAAGATAATGGATCCAACTATCACCGAATATATTTTCCGTTTCTTGCTCCTTATATAATCGTGTTTGGTCATGAATTTAAATCAGGAAACTTTCGAATTAATTGAATGTCAAGAGATCCTTCCATTTACACATCAGACTTGAAGGTAAAACATATTATTATTAAGGTTAGAGAACATGTATTCAAAAAGAGGCGCAATTGGCGTATTAATTTCGATCTTTAACTTATTGCGTTTTCAATAAGGCATTAAAAAAGTTGTTATTTCTCACACATTCATAGTAGGGCCGATGATTTTTTGCGGCGCTAAAATAGTAAATTCTGTGTGTGACAAAACGAAATTTTGTGAAATTCTGAGGTTTTGGCCAGAATCATGCAAAGTCTGCCAATGTTACTATTCGCAAATTTCTGGCCACACATTTTAATGTCAGCCGGCATTACGATGATTGAAAATTATAAATCAGGCCAAACATTTAAAATTATCAAATTTTTTATAGCCCTATTCTGTGATTTCCGGTGAAATTCTGTGACACAAAGAAAATCATCTCTATAGGTTAAATAATGAAATATAAAAGTCAAGCTATTAGCTCTTGACGCAAGTGATTAATTTTATGAATCTTTTTATATTTTATATTATTCGCAAATCGCACTATTAACAACTGAACAGTGAGGTTGTAGGCTATTCAGTACGAATTTGCAAATCTGTACGGTACGGTTGATCAACTTTCTCAAAAATTCCAAAAATTCCGTACCGTACCGTACTTGTCCTATATATATTATATTATAGAGCCAGTACGGTATGGTACAGCTAATTTTGTTTTTTATATGTCCAAATAACCACCATAGTTAAATAGACATTGGTGTTCAAATAACCACTATGGTCAAATGGACATTGGTGTCCATTTAACCATGGTGGTTATTTGGACATTAATGTCCGTAGTTATTTGGATATATACAGTATATATATATAAATTAACCACGCCATACCGTACTGGCTCTAATATATATATAGTACGGAATTTTTGAAAATTTTTGGAAAAATGATCAACAGTACCGTACAGGTTTTCAAAATCGTACTGTTGTGACTTCTTTGTTAAGCTGGAAAAAGATAATGTAAAAACATAATTATAAACTTATCATCGTACTTATAAATTACATTTCATTGTGTTCTACGTTTAGGATGGGATGTATGATTTTAATAGTATTTTAATTATGATTTTCATGAACATATAAATTTCTGAATTACAAAAATACCTTCATTAATTAAAAATTAAATGATTGTTTTCCTCCTTAAAACATGTAATATTTAATATGTTAAACATTTTTAAACGTATTTATTTATAGATGATTATAACTATTTTATTTCAAACTTATGAGGTGAAGGAAAAATAAATAAATAAACCAATCAACGAACAAACAAATAAATGAATCAATAAAGTAATATACAGTATACGAAAAGTTTT